GGAAGTCTGCTTCTCCCTCTGACCCTCCCCCCTCTCATGTGCTCTCTCTCTCTCTCTCTCTCATTCTCTCTCTTAAATAAATAAATAAATAAAATCTTTAAAAAAAAAAAAAAGCAAGACATCACAGACTAAAAATCTGTATGTGTGTGAATTTTAAAAAATTAATGGAATAAAAACAATAAAGATCAAGTTAAGCATAGAAATTATTCTCACATAAAAATTGTAACTTTTTTCAGATTATATTACAGGTGAATTCATTAAGAGAAAGATTTTTTCAACAAAAGCTCTTGGATTATTTCATAATCCATTCAATGAAGTGGAGTTAATTATCCAAACACATTGAAGAAAGATTTAAGCGTCTGCCAATTTACAAAAGCTACTATCACTGAATACAACATAAAAATCATACCATTTCCAGGACATCTAAGATAAATTGGCTTATAAGCCTCCTCATTTCAAAGACAATTTAAGCCTAGTCATTTTCTGAAAACACTTGAAATGTTCCTAATCTTATAATCATATAAAAAAATTTGATAAGTTTTTTCCAAATTGGACAATGTATAATATTTACAATGTTATCAGTAATGAACCATAAAGCTGAAAGAATCTTTCAAAACTACCAATAATAAAAAACTAATGGCCATGCTAGATGAAAGGCTATATAATTTTTATATTTTCTCCACATAAAGTATTATATAAAATGGTTCTCATATGGACAAGTGGTTGTAGAACATGTAGACAAAAATTGCAAATAGGGTGTCTGGGTGGCTCAGTTGGTTAAGCCTCTGACTCTTGGTTTCGGCTCAGGTCATGATCTCAGAGTTGTGATATCAAGCCCCAAGTTGGGTTCTGTACTCAGCACGGAGTCTGCTCTAGATTCTTTCCCTCTCCCCCCACCCCTCCCCACCACTCAAGCATGGTGCACATGCTTGCTGTCTAAAAATAAATAAATAAAATCTTCAAAAAATAAAAGGTATTGTAGAGCTGTTACTTATTAGGAAGTTATATTATTTTCCTGTATTTTGTGAAATTGGTGGAATTCACCAACTTTAAAATTTTTATTTGTAATGATTTTTCTCATTCTATGGATAATTACACACTTTTAACCTAATTTTGTAGACACCATTTTTTTTTTTTTTTAGAGAATAGGAGAGAGAGAGTGGGGGTGCAGAGGGAGAGGGAGAGAGAATCTTAAGTAGGCTCCACACCTAGCATGGGGCCAGAGGTGGGGCTCAGTCTCACAACCCTGAGATCATGACCTGAGCCTAAATCAAGAGTCAGTCATTTAACCAACTGAGCCACCCAGGTGCCTCATGTAGACATCATTCTTATATTCTTTTTTTCAAGGAAGCTCTCCTTCCACTCACCACTAATCATATAAGATTTAGACCCCATAGAACATGGATCTGCTCTTGGCTAACAAGCTTGAATTTTCTGTTTCCAGCCTTTCTCCCTACAGAAGCACTTGAATCCACATCCAGTCTTTTTTTCTGTTAAATATTCTTGTAAGCCCTGATTCCCATGCACACGGCTTACTCTAGGAGCTGCCTTACACCAAACCATTAGCCCCTTGACCTTGGCTTAGTTCATAGCTCTTGTCTCCGTCTTACCAGTTTCTGGTTCTACATTCAGACTTCCCATTCTCACTTTTGGCCCCCTTGATTAAGTGATCTCTTTGGACTCCTCCTCTGCTTTTTGAAATTAGCATCTCTCTTAGCTCCCAGCTCTGCAGGCTGATAGAGGCATCTCCTGTGGCTTCTCATCACTCAGGTGGACTTTAGTTACCAATAGAATGACACCACCCATTTTCCTGACAAAGGCTAATCTTTCAGCCTCTGCCCTACCTCTGTCCTTTCTAGGACTTTGCACAAGAAATTGACTGCATCTTTTTTCTGTGTTTTTATTTAGCCTCTGACTGTACTTGTATTGTTACTTAGCTGTGTGCACACTCAGGTGTCTCCTGTCTTAACAAACCATTCTACTCTGCATTTTCCTCTTTCTCCTCTTGCCACTTAAGTCAAGGTTCTTGATTGCTGGTATCACCTAACTGTTTTGTCACTCCTGCTTTGTTGCTCTGTTCTTTCCTACCTAATGCCTCTCTCTGAGATCACCAGAGGCCTCCTTAATACCAGATACAGTGCACTCTGTTCAGCCTTTATCTGAAGGCTTAAACACTGACCACTACTTTTTTGTTTAAATTCTCTTATTTCCTGGATTTCAGATATTAATTCTTTAGGTTCTTCTTCTCTTTTACTCCCTCGTCTTTTTTGAGAGATTCTTTTCTGTTTTAGTCACATAAAACATTAGTGTTATCCAGTGTCTTATCCTCAGTACTTCTCACTTCTTCATTCCTCCAACTGGGTGATCTATTATTTTTACTCATTCATTCATCAGTATTTGTTAAGTATATACTATATGGTAGGTACTGTGCTAGGTGCTTGGGAAACTGTGTTGAATAAGACAGATATAGTCTCTGCATTATAGATTTAGTCCATTCAGGAAGATAATTATTAACCAAATAATTATAATTCCATGGCTTCAGTCATCATTTTTTGCTAATAACTACGAGATCTATGCCTGAATCTTTTTTATTAGGTAAATTATAGCCAGGACATCTGAAGTAATAAAATCACTGAGATTGCAGAAAATCTGTGATTACTTTTTTTTTTTTTTAAGATTTTATTTATTTATTTGAGACAGAGAGAATGAGAGAGACAGAGAGCACATGAGAGGGGGGAGGGTCAGAGGGAGAAGCAGGCTCCCTGCCGAGCAGGGAGCCCGATGCGGGACTCGATCCAGGGACTCCAGGATCATGACCTGAGCCGAAGGCAGTCGCTTAACCAACTGAGCCACCCAGGCGCCCAATCTGTGATTACTTTTGAACTGTGACATTTCATGAAGCAAGAGCACTAGATCAATCACTTTAAAAGGTATTCTTTATCACCCCAGGTTTTATACAGCCTGGAGAACCATGGTATGTAGCAAGAATACTGTCTAAGAATCTGAGATTTTCATTTTGGCTCTGTGATTAAGTCACTTTGACCTAATTTTCTTCACTAAGTATTTACTGTTGAATGAATTTAAAACATTAATTGAATTAATGTGTATGAAAAAGTTAGCTGTCTTTCTTTATAGTTAAAATAATGGAAATGAGTTGGGGTGACCATATACCTCAGTTTTCCTAGGATAGTTCCAGTTTATATCTGTCATCTCAGCAAAATACAAATAGCACCTCCTTTTACATTCAAAATTGTCTCCATGTAGACAGTAGATTATATGGTCATTCTCAAACCATTTTTCAAAGAAAACCATTTTTTCAAAGACATATTTGTTATAATGCTTGCTATTTTTACAATTCCTAATTTTTTAAACTATTTTACAGTCAAAGATTGGTGGAGTACAGATATTTCTGGAATAAGACTCTTTCATTACTTACTTTTACTAAAAGAGAGCTAACCAGTATTAAAAATGAAGTATATGATAATTTTCAAAACTGGACTTCACTGAAAGGAGAAGTTTTTCTACAAATTAAATCCATAAGTGAAACAGCCTTGACAGGTTTGTTGTGTATATTTAGAATGTAATCATCTTTTTTTTTGCTATATGGTACATTATAAGTAATGAAATAATCCTTCATTTTATGTGATGGAACTTATGATCAACTTTTAAATTTGTTGTTGGCTGGTAAACTAGCTGACCATTATGACTTATTTGAACCCTAAAATTCAATAATTATAGGCTGATCTAAAATAAACCATGATACATCTATCTTGAGCTGTGACCAGAAGTCTGTTTATTACTGTTAAATGTACCAATTTGTATTTTAAAACTTTTTCTTCTATTCATGATTTAGTATTTCATATCGGATCAGCCTTTCCTCAGATAACTGATAAATTCTGGACAGAATAACTACTTAAAAACACTGGAGAGTGACCAAAACCAAGCACATAACATAGGGAATGTCAAATATTGAAAGAATGCATATTACTAAGTGAAAGATGCCAATCTGAAAAGGCTACATACTATATGATTCTAACTAAATGACATTCTGCAAAGGGTAAAACTATAGATATAGTAAAGAAATATGTTTTTGCCAATGTGGAAGGGGAAGAATAGGTTGAGCATGGAAGATTCTTAGAGCAATGAAAATACTTTGTATGATACTATAATGGTGGATACATGTCATTATACATTTGTTAAAACCCATAGAATGTAAACACCAAGAGTGAATCCTAATATAAACTAAGGATTTGGGGGCAAATATGATGTGTGAGTGTAGGTTCATTGATTATAAGAAATGTCCCACTCTGGTGCAGGATTTTGATGATGGAAGAGGCTATGCATGTGTGAAGACAGAATTTATATGGAAATTCTCTGTACTTTCTGCTTAATTTTACTATGAACCTAAAACTGACATATTTTTTTTAAAGGCTATGAATTTTTTTTAGTTAAAAGAAGAGAATGGAACTGGGTGAATTCCCTGGGGTTTGGTTTTTATTTTTGTTTGTTTGTTTAAGGCTATTAGGTTGAGAGCAGGGTACAGTGTGTTCCATGCAGGGAAGCTAAAACTCTGATATAAATCTATAGTCTTTTGGCTTGAAGATTGGAGGACATAGATTAAGGCAGCCTCTGAGAAAGAATATTCCAGAAAAGAGGTGATCAGAGAGGAAGAGCTCAGAGTTTGCATATAAGCTCTTTCCAAATCTTTGGCCTATTCCTGAAATACATGTGCACAGGGAAGACTTGAAATAACCCATCAAAGGCCAAAATAATTGATATTTTCGCTGCTGCTTACCCAAGGGGAGACATATTTTACAGTTTGAGTTCAGTCAAGTTAACTGCTTGTTAAAATAAAACAATGTCAAAATCACTACCCTTTAGAGGAACATAACAGAATTCAGGGTCTCCATAACATAACATCCCCAATGTTCAGGATACAACCCCAAATTTCTTGGTATGGGAAGAAACAGGAAAACATGGCCCATACTCAAGAGATTAGTCAGCAGAGATCAACCCTGAGTTGATCCAGATGATAGAAATAACTAACCAGGATTTCAAATTAGCTGTTAACTATGTTTAATGACATAAAGAAAATAAGCTAGTAATGAGTGAAAAAACAGAATATCTCAGCAGAAAACTATTAAAAATTGGATATTCAAGAATGGAAAAATACAATATCTGAAATAAAAATTTACTGGATAGACTTCTATAGCATATTGTGATTATAGAAAAAAGAACCAGTGAATTTAAGATAGATCAATAGAAATTACTCATTTTGAAGAACAGAGATAAACATTGAAAAAAAATGAACAGAACCTCAGGGCCCTTAGGATGGATTAAAATATACCATAAGTGATAAATATGGGTAAGAAAAAAGACTTTTTTCCTTTGAATTTAACAAAAAATTGTATATTCTTATTTAAAGTAGGAATTATATGTGGGTTTTATAAAGTATGTTGATTTAACTTATGACAGCTAGAACATAAAGGATGGAGAGAAGGAGTAAATAGACCCAAATGGTTGTACTCTTTTTGTATTTTATGTGATATGATTCAATATATATATGTAGACTAAAAATGATATATAACTCATAAAGCAACCACTAAAAAAAAAATACAAAAAGACAAAGCTAAAAAGATAATAAATAAACTAAAAAGTAACTCTTTTAAAAGTATCCAAACAGTGGAGAATTAATGTCACCTGTCTCTAAGATTTATATGCATAATGGCATATGGATCATCAGTAGATCACTGGAACAAAATAGCCAGGTAAATGATCCTATTTGTATGATTATTTCACTTTTGACAAATGTGCCAAAACAATCCAATGGGAGAAAGAAAGTCTTTCAACAAATTGTAATAGAATAACTAAATACCCATATGGGAAAATACACCTCAACTCCTTCATTACATTGTACATGAAATTAATTCAAGATAAATCATAAAACTAAATATAAAAGCTAAAACTATCAAAGAAGAAATAGAGCAAAATGTCTTCATGAATTGGTAGTAAATGAAGGTTTATTGGATAGGGCATAGAAGTAAGAAAAATACCAAAAATTGATGTGTTAGACTTTATCAAAATTAAAAACTTCTATTCATCAAAAGATGCTGTTAAGAAAATGAATAGGTAAGCCACAGACAGAAAAAATACCTAAAAAAAAAAAAAAAATGTGACAAAGAACTGCTGTCCAGCCTACATAAAGAACACCAACAAGTCAGTAACAAAAGGACAAAAAATCCAATCAAAAATGGCCAAAAAATCCAATCAAAAATGGCCAAAAGCAGACACTTTACAAGGAAACACATACAAATGACCAATAAGGACATGAAAAAGTGCTCAACGTTATTGGTCAAAAGGGAAATGCAAATGTCAATAGTACATACCCACCAAATTGGTTAAAATGAAAAGATTTAAAACAGTGGATGTTGGTGAGGAAGGAAAGCAACTGGAACTCTTACGCAAACAGGTGAGAGTATAAAATGTTATAGCCACTTTGAAAAAAGATCTGACAGGTATTTTTTATAAAGCTATACACATATCCAATGATCCTTGAAATTCTTCTCTTTGGTATTGATGCCCCCCTGCAAGTAAAAACATATGTCCACACATTTATCCTAAAGAAGTGTTCCTTGTGGCAGGCTTGTAGCCTTAAATAAGGGAAGAAAATTAATGTTCTTAGAGTTTAAATATATTTATTAATATATAACTAATATAAAAAATATATATA